ATAATTGAAGATTATTTCTCATCCCTTAGAAATAATGGTTAATTGTAGATACAAACCATCAATAGTATTTTTTTCTTTTATCAAAAAGTTAACAGTTTCAAAATGTTTAGTTAGCATACGTTTCGTTTGTTGTTTATATTTTTCGATTACTTACTTTCTATAAGACTATGAAATTCTTTATGGGGACAATAGTAGCATTAGTTATTATGAAAAACGTTAAGTTTACCATGGTTAAACAAGAAGGCAGTAAAGAATAAAAAGAGTTCTAGGTACTTTATGTGTTTATTAATTTAACAATCAAAGTTGACGTTATGGTTCACCAACGTTAATCAGAAATAGTAGTAAACAGTTATCTTATTAACACAATAAAGATTGTTAGTTAAAAAACTGTATCTACTAAATCTACTAAAACTAATCGAATTTGGTGGTTTATACCTGAAAAAACATTTTAAAATTTCATATAGTATATAAACTATAGGAAAACTCAAAATTGGATTGAGTTTGTTCAGTCAATAGCACAGCTCACTTCACACTTTTATAACATAATTATATTATGTAAGTGTCATTATATCAAATTTATAATTTCACCTTATCTTAAGACAATATTTTGATGCCATTGCATTAAAGTTTCTAAATATTTAAATTAAATTTTCCTATTCTCAACCCATGAGGCGAATGTTAAATTTCTTACAATTAAAATGCAGGTAGAGTAAAGTCCTTTAGTCCGATTAAATTATGTACCCTTCCCATAGTAAGTTACTATGGCTGTGCTGAATTTCATGCGGATCACTTCAGCTGTTCAGGAGGAGTATTTGTAAAACAAAAGCAGGGTTGTAGTTAAGACTAGGAAAGAGTATCATTTTCTTGAACAAAGAAGAACATTATCTACTGATAACAACTAGCCAAGTTTAGAATATGACAAAGGTGTCCACGAGCAGCATAAGGGTTTGTTTTGAAGGTTTTTGGAATAAATATTCATTAACATCATAATTTCAACTCTCATAAAGTTTTATTTCTCTTTATTGCGAAACAAGTTAGCCATAAATAACATCAGGTCTCGGAGGTATAACCTCCAAAAGGCTTGGGTTCAGGTTTGGCGATCGTGAGCTAAACAGAAACAAGAACAATAAGTTACTTAGATTTACCAAGTATAGGATATATTTATGTCAATAATAAATACCGATACACTATTTCAATGTTTTTATCAAATATTATTCTTACTTTGTGTGTGTTCCCAAACAAAACATCATGGAAACACTTATAAAAAACAATAGTTAAAAGCAAGGTGATTTTTATTTCCACTAATAATATATTTCAACAATTATTAGCATTGGCGACACTTAGAAAACAGTACCGGTAGCTAAAACGCTTGAAAATAAAAACACCTATCGTTTACTATAATTGGTACAAGATTTTATTACATTGACTTCAACCAGTACGTAACTGGTCTCTAGCAATAAGTCAGTAAACATTTACTAAATTTAGTAGTACATGTAGTTTAATTTGTATACTTACATCGACGAATGCCAGAAAGGTAGCAAGTGCCACGATGAAAGCTGATGCAAATTTCATCTGAAATAAACTCAACATTATGTACATGTCTGGTCTTGGGGACACTAAGAAGTCAGTGTTTAGTGTTGATTCAAATTTTCATTTAGTTTGAATTACATCATGTATTTCTTCAGGGTGACAATTAAGTCTTACATTATTACTAGTAATTATAAGCTACTTTTTGTGCAGAAAATCGGATGTTACCTATTGGGGACGGCCCATAGGTAGTAAGTTGAAAATGGTAATGGTAAGCATAGGTTGATTTGGACATCAAATTGATGGTGTTGTTGAACTCAAAACAATGCCGCAAACCGGACCTAAAATGGACAATCGAGTCATAAATATTACAACTGTTTATTAATATTCATAGAACTTTTCAATGCTATTACACACAACCTCTTTAGAGGGGCGCCCGCTATATGATGAAAGAATTGTTTTTACATCAACATTGGTAGATATGCATAATGAATTAAAGGTTCTTAAAGGGAATAAAATGCTGCATTGAGTTCAAAAGCACAACTTGGAAAAGGGCAGTCGTTAATTTATTAAAAATGGCAGATTTAATAAATCTTTGTTCGGCTGCCATTTTAGACTTGGTTGTCCATTTGAGGTCCGGTTTGCCGCATTGTTTTTAGTTCAATATGAATTTTAATTTAAGGTACATATCAACATCAACCTATGGTTACCTTTAAGATTGTCAACTTACTCCCTCTAATACCCATGTAAAAAAACCCTGTATATTATGTAAATGTATTTCCATAACAATCTTATTTAAATAATAGATTTCCCTAGATACATGCTAAAATACGCTATCGTCAAGAATCAAATTATCCTATGCTATGGCAATTCATAATTTACCTTTATTAGTGTTGAACGAGATACTTGAAGGTTCTAGTTGTAATTTATAACACCTGTCTCCTGGGGTTTAATTATTTATACGTGTTATTAAATTATAATTTAATACATCAGGTGATCTAATAGTAATTAATGAGCAGTAATAATTATGCATTGTGTTAAAAATTAATTGAATTTAATAATTATTTAGGACTAGCTGTTTGCCCGTTCTACGTACGGGAATCTTGTAGTAAGTTAAAACCTTATATTCAGAACAGGAGTTGGTTTGCATATTTAGTGTGCATTTTTCCAGATATGATAGCAAAACTATAATTGTTTAGGAATACATATAAGCCTTCTCAAATACAATATCTGACAGTTTCAAAGTCAAAGGAATGCTTCACAGTTAAATGTCACCCGATCGTGTTAGTCCATATTTTATATCTAACGATAGAAGGAATTGCTTTACAGTATAGATCTATGAGGCATAGCCCTAAGGTAGGCCTGTAATTGAAAATTACTTTTCACACTGGTTAAAAGTAGTTAAAACACTACCTAAACCTCACTACTGCACACTTTATTCGGGTTGAAATTTTTATTAACAATGGTGCTCTTGTCTTTTCCACGAAAAATAAGGACATTAATGCGTTACCAATAGACATACACAAACAAATACAGAATTGAGTCCACACAACATTTTGGAGTCCAGACAGAAAACGCTAAAAATTATACAGTAAGACATTAATTAAATTTAATAAGCAATAAGGTGCAGTGTTTATAAATAAATATTGAGAATAGTGATGTGTTTGTATGTAAAAATGATTCTTACTGCTACCACCGGTTCTAAGGAAAAGTAGCAGTATCAAAAACCAACGTTTACATTTGAGAAAAGATGTTAACATATTAATGACAGTTCGAAGAAACCACCTTTATCCAAACAAAGGTTTCTTATTTAAAAGATTACGTAATCTCTAAACGATAATCGGTACGTATATCTAGCAAACATTCGGAGGAAATGTGACGAAAAACGCACAAATCTGGGGTTTTGTACGTTTGTAGTTTTATTTCCTAAGTAGGAAAAGTACCGATATCGTTGTCGAAATGTAAGTAAGTAGAAACCAAAGTGACACATTGGATAAGCGAGTTTAGCTACATCTGTTAAGTTGTTAAGTTAAACCTCTGTTACGGTACGATCACAGCGAAATCAGAAAGATCTTCCAAGATCGCAGCAACATCCACGATCACCCACTGCTGTCGTGATTTTTTACTTTGGACACAACTGTCCTTGAAGCGCCGTCAATGAGTAAACACCTTTGTAAGCTGCAGTATTGGTGACGACACTAAGACAACACTGATTCACGGTATTTTCCCCGGTTATCAAAACTCAAGAACAATCGTTGCACTTGCGATTAATTAAACCGGTTAAGTAAGGCACAACGTTTTAATCTCACTTGGTTTGGATGTGCTGACAAAACTTGATCGGAAATGGTTACGGTATTTGTAAACAACTTTGAATGTAAACATATCAGTGACAGCTAGAAGTGAGAACTAATCCAAACAGCTGATCGTTATTTTATAAAATGTAATAGTAAACATTGGGAGAAAATTTGACAAAAAATCGAACAAAATTGGGTTTTTGGTGGTTTGTTATTTTGTTTTCAAAGAAGCGAGGCCATGTTTTTATAGCCTAAGACACTCTCACCAATTCAGTAAATACAGTAAAATGATTAGAACCTTGATCGGTGCTCTAGTTTTCTAGGAGTAGGCCGCGTAAAATGACATTTTGGCGTTACAGACGGAGTTACAGAATGGACAGACAGACATACAGACAGAAATTGAGATAAGACTCGTTTCGGCTTTCTTAGGCTATGAAACGTAAAAATAACCTAAAACTGCATGATTCTAAGCAATGTAAAGACAAAACTGTAATTTTATTTATATAGATATATATACAAATCAGATCGTAAAGTAAATCAATAACACAATTATTTTGACAACAAACAATAAAAGATAAATAATTATTTATGCACAATTGGTTTGAATCATTAAAAAATTTCACAAATGCTGAGGATATTTTACTATGGATATTCCCAGAGCTGGAGTAAAAATCGAATTAAATATATAGCCGCATGTGTAACTCACTTGTTCATTGACTGATCAGGTAAAAAATTCTAACATACTTTAAGAAGAGCTAGGGACCTGTACTTTGTATGTGAAATCTAGTTATGCATTGCTCACCACGTACTTTTGTGACACCCTGTACAGTTAGGACTGTATCACGGGGTAACAAAATTATGTACGGATAAAATGTAAAATACAATTTTTTTAGTTTTGTTTCATGAGTACATGATAAAGTTTTCATCTTTAAATTACAAACCATATGAATGATGATCAAGCTACGAGAGTTAAAATATTTTTTGGTCACTTTTTACGTTTATTTCAACCCTCGTAAAATTGAATTTTAAGATAAAAATAGTTCTAAGTGTAAACATTTATACATCATAAGAATGGAAAAAAAAATATATAAAAAATGGGTGTGCTATGTAATATAGTACCGAACAAATGCACATACTGTATGTGGTTAAATATCAATTGTTGTTTGTTGAAAAATTAATACAACTGGCCATTAAATCAAAAGATTTATTACAGATGTCTTTCGCATCAGCTGTCATCGTGGCACTTGCTTCCATTCTAGCATTCGTCGATGTAAGTGTAAAAAAAAAACTAATTTTGGTACTTTATTTAGTAATATTCACTGATTTGCTGGCATGACTATATATATATCTTAGAAAAATTAAAAACTGTAACATTTTTTTATTTCTGTTCAGTTGACGGTTGCCAAACCTGAGCCGCAGCATAAAGGAAACCACTCCTCCTGGCGGCACTAGCTACCTCTCTGGTATTGGTCAATGTAAGTATGCAACTTAAGCAACATGTTATACTACATTTAGTTATACTTACTAACTCCTCGCCTTATTAATCTTAGTACTGGCTGAAGTCAATGAATATAAAATTTGTTAACGAATACAGTGGAGCGTTTTATTACTGATTTTCAGAATTTCACCTGTAATCATTTTAAGTCGTTAAATATTTGACGATTTCATGTGAATTGTGTGAAATTAAATCACCTTTCTTTTTGAGTATGGTTTCATAAGTTTTTACTTTTTGGTATGGAGGGTAATGAACCCAAATCAAGGCAAACCTTTGCAAAAAATTGAATTATGCGTATGCAGAGTAGGTAGATATCCTTTGGAAGTGATGTTTCGAGTACAATTAAGTGTTGCTGTTTCTGCTCCCTAATAAAAACTGTCAATACTTTATTTTATAACAAGTCTGTCCCACTGTAGTTAATGTCAGTAGTGGATAACGTTGAAAAAACCTCTTAATCGGCCATAACTGTTATAGAGGTAAATGTTACCTATTTTAAAACATTTTGATGGTATAAAATGAACTCCGCATGTTTAAAATATACAGGGTGTCCCAGAACTCTCTACCATTATATTAGAGAATTGTTTCTGAATAAGAAATATATCTGAATATCATATTTGTATCGTCCGGAAGACCTTAATTAATCGCACAGCCACCATTTAGTTTTTTTGACTTATTATTATTTTTTTTTTTTTTAAAGATACGAAATTGAAACTTTGCCCAAAAATGTATGACAACTAGGCGAACCTACCAAAAAATAATGAAAATTTTAAAAATTCATATAAAAGATTTCCGGCAATTAATTTTTTTAATAATAACTCAAAAACCGTTGATTTTACAAAAGTTTTAAATAGCCACCATTTCGTTTTACGAATTTCAAAAATTGTTATATTTTTTTGTAGCTTTGTCTAGTTTTTATAAATGTTTTTATCTCTAGTTGAAACTTTGCACAAAAATGTATGACAACTAGACATGTCCTTACTATTTTCGTATCTTTAACTACTTTTAAGGAAAAACAATTAAGTGAAAATATCAAATGTTGGCTGAGCGAGTAACTAAGGACTTACGGCCAGTTAGAGTATAATATTTAGATATGTTCCTTACTCAGGAAGAATGTTCTAAAATATTGGTAGAGAGTCCTCGGAGACCCTGTACATTTCATAGACGTTTTTCAATGATAAACAGGTGAACACAATGTAACACAAGGTAAGTATTCTTCTTCTGCAACAAAAATGGATTGTATGAATGTTAAATAAATAGAGATGAACTAATTGTACTATTGTTTCCGTTTAGTGCACGATTGGCGAACCTGAACCAGAAACTACTATAAAAGTTTAAAATAAAAGTCTACCAATGTTACCTAAAAGTAGTTTGTGACCATTAAAATAAATAAATCTGTAATAAAATAAAAGTTTATGTTTTCATTCAATCCCCATCAACATTGTGTAAACTATTTGGTTGTTTACTTACTTGTAGTTATGTAGAATTCATATCTGTAACCTTCACGGGAAAATGGCCCAAACCTGTTTTTCTTTATCCAGTAGAACGCCAAAAAGTTTTTTAGATAGCGTCATTTGGAAGCTCAATGACAGTATGGTATTTGAACCATTTTATGGTATATTGTTAAGAAACCTTAGCCTACAGACTATAGCCCATAGTTATTTATGATACTAATAATTTACAAATCCTTTTTGTTTTATTTGTATTGCAGAGAAAATTAAATATGTGGACAATTTTAAATTTAAAAAAATCCTGGCTGAGTCAAGAGTAATAATATCACTGACTAAATGATACCTGTGATATTATAGTATAAATTACCTTATTCCTTAACCTTGTTGACTTAATGTTAAAATATATTTTTGGATATTACAAGGATTATGATATACCTCCATCCTCCAATATTATAATTGAAGATTATTTTTCATCCCTTAGAAATAAAGGTTAATTGTGGATACAAACCATCAAAAGTATTTTTTTTTCTTTTATCAAAAAATTAACAGTTTGAAAATGTTTAGTTAGCATACGTTTCATTTGTTGTTTATATTTTTCGATTACTTACTTTCTATAAGACTATGAAATTCTTTATGGGGACAATAGTAGCATTAGTTATTATGAAAAACGTTAAGTTTACCATGGTTAAACAAGAGGACAGTAAAGAATAAAAAGAGTTCTAGGTACTTTTTAATGTGTTTATTGACAACAACACACAACACAACAATAACAGTTGAGGTTATGTTTCACCAACGATAATCAGAAATAGTAGTAAACAGTTATCTTATTAACACAATAAAGATTGTTAGTTAAAAAACTGAATCGACATAATGTTGAGCTCCATTACGTTTATCATTGAAAGTCCAGCGACAACAAAAAGCCTGGTTTACGGAAGTTTGCGAGTGTAAGGGTGTGTTCTATGGTCTCAAACCATCAGTGCTCGTAAGTAAACAGCCCTAGTGTTGTTGTGTGCATATTTTCTATCCATTACAAATCTTTGACCAATGCAAGGGCAGCGAGTGTTCTGCTACTGATTAACAATAGAGTGATACAAAAATCTAAATAATTTGCCTTTCCAGAACGCAAATTTGTATACAATTATAGAGCGTCTTTAATAATGAGCACACAGCAAAGTATTGTATTTTAAAGAGCTATATTGAATGACCATAGTTCATTAAACACAATATTTTTAAATTAATTAAAACAATCACAACTCAATATAATTGTTTATCATTTGAAAAATCATAGAGGTATAACAGTTAATAAAAATTGGAAACCATTACATCCAAATTAGGTCAGCCTGTAAGACTATACAGTATTTATGAGCAGTACACCTTTTAAATACCTATGAAGTTTTAAATTTTAAATTGTTTTGGTATGTCCGATTTGAGGATTAGCATCACCAACGGTCATTACATATTTGGTGCCAAACTACGGAGGAAAACTGAAACACAGAGGGCTGAGTTAAGAAAGGAAATGTTATTACTAATAATGATAAAAACCGTATCTTGCCAGACAAACCTTAAATTGTACTGTAGTGTCGTATTTTAAACATGCTACATATGTTTTGGTTGTTCTTATCTCCACCATCGTCAGGCTTACAAAATAGTCCACTCCTGGAGGTGTCGTCAGCATGAGTTACAAACATTTAATGAAACAAATTTAACGACAAAACACGAATAGATTACAGATATGCCTAGCAATTTACGCGTGTACATTGACGGAGGTATGACTGGAAGTAGGATTAGTACTGGTGTCTAAAGCAAATTTTATTGTCCTTATAAACTAGTTTGATTCTTAGTCCAGACTTCCATATAGTATGCAGAGTTACCCTCTTAATACATTACAGAGTTGAGAAATAAAAGCTAAAAGTAACATTTATATCCATCTTAGTATTGATTTAAAGTGGTGTAAGTTATTAGGTATGGTTTTAAAAAGTTCCCTATTATAAGCCCAATGTTAATGTTTCCACACTTTCAATTATGGAAAAAGATGGTATTTAATAAAAATCAAAGGATTTTGACAGCTAACTCAACATAAATCATAAGTTGGGTTCTATGATATGTACAAACATCCTCTTTTATACTTATAGACTAGTATACCTGTTGCTCCTATACGAGTATTATAGGCGTTATAAAACATTCATAATTTTTGAAAAGAGTCGACTCACGATGTACATATAAGTTCGATATAAACAAAATTTCTTGTAAATATCTTATCATTTTTCAAAAGCTGATCTTTTGAATTTTCTACAAATGTTTTCCACTCATAGCCGTATTAGGCTGTCCATAATAACGATTATAAATTTAAAAAACTTCATTTCTATTTCTTCTACTTGGTGTTCTATGACTTTTATATGTTTCCATAGTATGCAAATTGGCTCTTTCAATGATTGCTCAAGAAATGCAACACAGTGTAAATTCGGTTTTCTTTTAAGTTTTAGTACAGTATATAAAATTTTCCAGGCTTGATTGTTTTTTTTCTATTATAATATTAACGCCAACCCAAATTCGAATAGAAATATTTCATTTCATTTAAGTCAGTAAATGTTTAACGCACACGTTTCCTTACGTTTCTACAGGGTGGGGCAATTAAAGCAAACCAATTTATAAGCTGTACAAACTCAATAATATTCACCCTATAGATATAAATAGCACATCAAAACACAGCTTATATTTTGCCATTTTAACTTAACAAAGTCATTTTTCCATTTCTTGAGAACAAAATCCTGCAAGGGACCCTGTACTAAAATAATTAAATTATCTAGCTGATCATAAAGTAAACAAATGTGTTCTTCTTTAGGATAAAAGTGGAACTTTTTAGCCACTGGGGCAGACCCCAAGGGGTTTTTTCAAGAATGTAAGGTCAGTTGGAAAATCTACACACCTAGACATACATTTTGGTATATGTTATGTAGGATAAAATCTTAAAACAAAAAAGCCTTATTTTTCACAATGTTTCATGTAGCGTATTAATAATATAGATAGATGGATTCCATCCGTAGTACTGGTGTCTAAAGCAAACGTTATTGTCCTCATAAACTAGTTTGATTCTTAGTCCAGACTTCCATATAGTATGCAGAGTTATCCTCTTAATACATTACAGAGTTGAGAAATAAAAGCTAAAAGTAACATTTATATCCATCCCAGTATTGATTTAAAGTGGTGTAAGTTATTAGGTTGGTTTTAAAAAGTTCCCTATTATACGCTTAATGTTAATGGTTCCACACTTTCAATTATGGAAACAGCTGGTATTTAATACGAATCAAAGGATTTTGACAGCTAACTCAACAAAAGTCATAAGTTGGGTTCTATGATCGAATTGAGTTTTAAAAAGTTACGAGGTTCAATGACAAAGTGTAGCACTGTTTTATTTTCGGTTCTCGCCTTTTTTTAAGCAGCTAGTTATATTATATTATAAATCTATCAGAAGGAGCTAACCTTCCGCTTTTGCTGTTCAAAACCCATACGCGTGATTCCAATATTATACAGTATAAACTGGTGGTATAAAGTGATTTTACTTAAGTTACAAGTTGACACGTTTGATTATTAAATCGTGCTCATAATCCTTGTTGTATTAATGCTCATACATGACATTAATTAAGCATTTCAAATATAATTTCTTATAAGTTGTTTTATGAGTTCGCAGATAATGTACATTTATTGATGGAGACAATTATGAACAATTTCTTGTCGGTATTTTCATCAGTTTAGCATATTGTCCAGGTGTTATTAGTCAGATGATTTGTTCTAGACAATATTGCGTGAAATAACTTAATTTTGAGCTAGAGCAATGGATCAAGCCAACCAATAATAAATCTGCTTAAATTACAACGAGTAGCAAAACTTGTAAAGAAAGATCCAACTTATGACAATGACAATCCATCTTATTATGTAAGCTGTAAATAAACTATATATCATACCTTATTAGTACACGCTTTAAAATATGGCTTGTATGGACGAACTTAAAATGAAAGTTCAAAATGAAGAATTTGTACTCGATATTAAGTCACAACTTGTAAATGCTGTTTTAAATATTTAGCAAATGTGTTCACATTATGGGTTTGGTTGAATTTAATCACCATTTTGCTTAAATAATAGCAATGCATTTGCTGGTTTATACCTGAACAAAATTGTTAGATTTCATATAGTATATAAACTATAGGAAAACTCAAAATTGGATTGAGCTTGTTCAGTCAATAGCACAGCTCACTTTACACTTATATCACATAATTATATTATATAAGTGTCATTATATCAAACTTATAATTTTCACTTATCTTAAGACAACATTTCGATGCCATTGCATTAAAGGAGTTTCTAAATATTTAAATTAAATTTTCCTATTCTCAACCCATGAGGCGAATGTTAAATTTCTTACAATTTAAATTCAGGTTGAGTAAAGTCCTTTAGTCCGATTAAATGATGTACCCTTCCCATAGTAGGTTACTATGACTGTGCTGAATTTCATGCGGATCGCTTCAGCTTTTCAGGAGGAGTATTTGTAAACCAAAAGCAGGATTGTAGTATAAGACTAGGAGTATCATTTTCTTGAATAAAGAAGAACGTTATCTACTTATAACTAGCCAAGTTTAGAATATGACAAAGGTATCCACGAGCAGCATAAGGGTTTGACTTGTAGGTTTTTGGAATAAATACTCATTAACATCATAATTTAAACTCTCATAAAGTTTTATTTCTTTTCATTGCGAAACAAGTTAGCCATAAATAACATCAGGTCTAGGAGTAATCACCATAACCTGCAAAAGGCTTAGGTTCAGGTTTGGCGATCGTGAGCTAAACAGAAACAAGAACAATAAGTTACTTAGATTTACCAAATATATGATGTAAATATGTCAATGTTAAATACCGATACACTATTTCAATGTTTTTATCAAATGTTATTCTTACTCTGTGTGTGTTCCCAAACAAAACATCAAGGAAACACTTATAAAACAATAGTTAAAAGCAAGGTGATTTTATTTTGCACTAATAAGATATTTCAACACTTATAATCATCGGCAAAAACAGTAGCTAAAACACTTGAAATAAAAACATCTATCGTTTTACTATAATTAGTACAAGATTTTATTATATTGACTTCACCCAGTACGTAACTGGTCTCTAGCAAGAAGACAAACAATATTACTAAATTTATTACTACATGTAGTTTAATTTGTATACTTACATCGATGAATGCCAGAAAGGTAGCAAGTGCCACGATGAAAGCTGATGCAAATTTCATCTAAAACAAACTTAACATTATGTACATGTCTGGACTTAGGGACACTAAGAAGTCAGTGTTTAGTGTTGATTCAAATTTTCATTTACTTTGAATTTCATCATGTATTTCTTCAGGGTGACAATTAAGTCTTACATTATTACTAGTAATTATAAGCTACTTTTTGTGCAGAAAATCTGATGTTACCTATGGGGGACGGCCCATAGGTAGTAAGTCGAAAACGGTAATGGTAAGCATAGGTTGATATAGAGATCAAATTAAAGGTATTTTTGAACTCAACACAATGCCGCAAACCGGACCTAAAATGGACAATAGAGTCATAAATGACAGCTGTTTAAAAAAGGTATTGAATTTGCAATGCTATTACTTATTTGGGCGCCCGCTAAATTATGAACGATTTTTTTTATATCAACATAGTTGGATGTGCATAATAAATTAAAGGTATAATATATAAATGGAAAAAATTGCTGCATTAAGTTCTAAAGAACAACATTGAAAAAAGTCAGTCGTTAGTATATTAAAAATGGCAGATTTAATAAATCTTTGTTCGGCAGCGATTTTAGACGTGGTAGTACATTTGAGGCCTGGTTTGCGGCATTGTTTTTAGTTCAATATGACTTTTAATTTAACGTACATATCAACATCCACCTATGCTTACCTTTAAGATTTTCAACTTACTCCCTATGGGCCATCCCCCATAGGTGACATCTGATCACCGTGTTCACAAAAAAGTCCCCTGTATTTTATATAAATGTGTTTCTATAAAAATCTCATTTAAATATTATAATGCTATAGGTACATGCTAAAGTACGCTATCGTCAAGAACCAAATCATCATATGCTATAGAAAATCATTATTTACCTTTATTGTTGTTGAACGAGGTACTTGAAGGTTCTAGTTGTAATTTATAACACCTGTCCTCTGCTGGTTTAAATATTTATACGTGTTCTTAAATTATAATTTAATACATCAGGTGATCTAAGTAACTAATGAGCAGTAATAATTATGCATTGTGTTAAAAATTTAATGAATTTAATAATTATTTAGGATATATACAAATCAGACCGTGAGGTAAATCAATAACACAATTATTTTGACAACGGACAATAAATAAAAGATAATTGATTATTATGCACAATTGGTCTGAATCATTAAAAACTTTCACAAATGCTGAGGATATTTTACTATGGATATACCCAGAGCTGGAGGAAAAATCGAATTAAATATACAGCCGCATGTGTAACTCACTGGTTCATTGACTGATCAGGTAAAACAATTCTAACATACTTCTAGAAGAGCTAGGGACCTGAAATTTGGCATAATTATAGGTGTTGGCCCTAACCCCCCAAAATAAGTAAAAATTGTGGATTTTTGAAAATTCTTCAAAATGCGTTTTTTACGCTTGTTTTAAACCGTCCAATAAAGAAAAACTGAGAACACTTACTGTATTTAGATGTAAACTAGCTATAATATTGTATTTAAATGCTGTTTTTCATCTCCACCCCTTCACCCTTTATATATCACTTTAAACTTCAAATGTTTGTATTTTTTCTTCATGTTTCTTTGTTTAAACGTCTGTTGCGGCTTAATCGTAGGTCTGATCAAGAAACGTAAAGCACCTACAGTTCCTTATTCTCAACGATCTACAACTTTGTGATTTACAGTATCATTTTTTCCCATCATCACTCTTTCATCCCCAAATTCACGCTTCAACTTGAAATGTTGCCTTTATTTCCCTGTTTTGGTGGGTTTGGCTGCCCTGGAGTAGGCTAAAAATGTTTTTGACATGTTTGACCTAACACTTATTTTAAAATTTTTGGTCTTAAGTTAATTCTTAACCGATTTTGGAAATTTTAATTACCCTACTCTACCCTCAAAACTGAGAGGATGATTTTAGTTAAAATAATACCGATTTTGAAGTTTTCCTTCAATTTAAAATTCCACAAACGTAAGATTATATGGAATCAATCTAATGTTTCGTATACGAATGTTTTTAGTGTAAATTTTGTTTTTTTTGCGCCTTTCACGAATCTCTATTCTCTGTTGTCAGCTCGGTGGTCAGCTGTTTCTGTAGATAACTGTGTTGAAGAGGGAGTGATACTGGAACTGTAATTTGGTGTATTTTTTCATTCTTCGTCTTTGTTAATTTTATATATCTCATTCTCCTTGAGTGTGTTTAATGAACCTTTCCTGCAATAATGTAGAATTTCCAGGCTGGTCTTAACATGGTCTTGGCTCATTGGCTCATTGGTCATGGCTGGTCTTGATGGTTTAACATGGTGCTAATTGAGTGATAAAAATCTAAAAGGTGTTGAGCTAACGCAGATTTTTGTTCATGGGGATTAGGATCTGGTCGGTGTTCTGTATATTATGTTTGAAAAGCACGAACAGTTTTCCCTATATATAGGGTATTTCATGATAAAAATAGTGGGGGTTTAACTGTTTGTAAAACAATAAGAGGAATGAATGATTTTTTATGTTAACCCTGCATTCGGTAGGTCAAACAGTTGGTAATAACTAATAAATCAGTCGTTTTGATTGTTGGGCTGATCGTTTTCTTTACAAACACGTTTTTCGGTCAAGATGAGGCTAAGGTTGTTTTGCTATTAAGTCAACATAAAACAGTGACCCTAGTAGTTTGACAAAATGGTTGTTTCTTTTATTTATATTTTTAGGTTTTAGAACTTAAAACATGATTCGATGATTATATGTACACAAGATATCTAGAAGTTAAAACATATGAGAACTTATTAAACCAATGAAATTGATCCTTCGCACCTTGTTCATTTAACGATATCAGGGATTAGGTTTTTTGCACAATATATTTTCGTCATATAAATTAACAATATATAATATTCAGTTAAATCCTGCATAAATCTTTAATAATATGGTTTATGAGTTCAGAGAAAACCAAATGACGAAATTTGAATTGCCTTTTGTCAAAGGTTAATAATCATAACTAATGAATACAACGCTATGATTTTTAGTTACATTGTGTGGCGTTTTACTTACTTGTTATCACCAATTAATTTTTAACGATTGGATCACCTGATATGTTTTATGTCGGTTGAAATAGGTATATAAACATGTAAACTTCTAGAGAATACATATCACTTCTAACTGTAAACTCCAACCAACTGCAAAAGGTAAGACAAAAACCATAGTGTATTTATTGTAACAGTCTATAATGGGACTATTTAAACATATCCAGTGGTATCATATTTAAATTTATAAATTTTCTTAATTGTTCCTAACAATCAATTTAAATTAGTGTCAAAATTTTTTAAAAATGAAAATTTAAACATTGATCATTGGCGTCTATTTAGATTCACATTGTTATAAAGAAAACTAAATGCTTGTTAAATGACATTTGCTATTAAACTAATGGTGCTTTTGACATGATTAATAATAAAGAAAACTTTTTTTATGTACTAACAGATCTGTACAGTTAAAGCTCTATTAGGTTTGGATGTATAAATACTTAAAACCCTTGTATAATTTGATTTGCTGGTTCATATTAATAAAATTGTATGTCATACATTTAAAAATGCAACCATTTTTTAAATATAAAAAGTACGGTAAAACCTATTGCTGGATACTAAAAAACAATAACTTTTAAGTTTCATAAACAATTTACTAAGGGTCATTGAATTAAAAACTACAAAATGGTATATTAAATCTAAAGTAGGTCAAAATAAAGAAAACCCTAAAGACATTTTGACTTACTTTGAATGTGAAATCTAGTTCTGCAATGCTCACCACGTACTTTTGTGACACCCTGTACAGTTAGGACTGTATTACGGGATGACAAAATTATGTACAAATAAAATGTAAACTAATATTTTTTCAGTTTTGTTTCATGAGTACTTTATAAAGTTTTCATCTTTAAATTACAAACTATATGAATGATGATCACGCTACGAAAGTTAAAATATGTTTTGGTCACTTTTTACTTTTATTTCAACCCTCGTAAAATTGAATTTTAAGATAAAAATAGTTCTAAGTGTAAACATTTATATATCATAAGAATGAAAAAAAAATTTAAAAATGGGTGTGCTATGTAATATAGTACCGAACAAATGCACATACTGTATGTGGTTAAATATCAATTGTTGTTTGTTGAAAAATTAATACAACTAGCCATTAAATCAAAAGATTTATTACAGATGTCTTTCGCATCAGCTGTCATCGTAGCACTTGCTTCCATTCTGGCATTCGTCGATGTAAGTAAAAAAAAAAAAACTAATTTTGGTACTTCATTTAGTAATATTCACTGATTTGCTGGAATGACTATATATTTATCTTAGAAAAATTGAAGACTGTAACATTTTTTTATTTTTGTTCAGTTGACGGTTGCCAAACCTGAACCTCAGCATAAAGGGAACCACTCCTCCTGGCGGCACTAGCTACCGCTCTGGCATGGGTTAATGTAAGTATGCAACTTAAACAACATGTTATACTGCATTTAGTTATACTTACTAACTCCTCGCTTTATTAATCTTAGTACTGGCTGAAGCCAATGAATATAATCATAAATTTGTTAACGAATACAGTGGAGCGTTTTATTGCTGATTTTCAGAATTTCACCTGTAATCATTATAAGTCGTTAATTATTTGACGATTTCATGTGAATTGTGTGAAATTAAATCGCCTTTTGTTTTTGAGTATGGTTTCATAAGTTTTACTTTTTGGTATGGAGGGTAATGAACCCAAATCAAGGCAAACCTTTGCAAAAACTTGAACTATGCGTATACAGAGTAGGTAGATATCCTTTGGGAGTAATGTTTCAAGTACAATTAAGTGTTGCTGTTTCTGTTCCCTCATGAAAACTGTCAATACTTTATTTGATAATAAGTCTGTCCCAATGTAGCCAACTGTCAGCAGTGGATAACGTTAAATAAATCTTAAATCGGCCATATCTGTTATAGAGGCCAATTTTACCTATTTCAAAACATTTTGATGGTATAAAATGAACTCCGCGTGTATAAAATATACAGGGTGTCCCAGAACTCTTTACCAATACCTTAGGGCATTGTTCCTGAGTAAAAAATGTTTATCTAAATATCATATTTAAATTTTCCGGAAGTCCTTAGTTACTCACACAGCCACCATTTTGTTTTGTTCACTTATTAATAAAAAAATAGTTTAAGATACCAAATTGAAACTTTGCAAAAACAGTTTATAAGAACTAGGCGAATTATAGTGAAAGAAAGAAGAACAAAAAATGGATTATATAGATTATAATGTTGAATATATTTAGATGAAACTAATTGTATTATTGTGTCTGTTTAGTGCACGATTGGCGAACCTGAACCAGAACCTACTATAATAGTTAAAAATAAAAAGTGAACAATGTTATCTGAAAGGAGTTTGTGACGAATAAATCATCAAGAAAATAAAAGTTTATGTTTTCATTCTATCCCCAACAACTTTGTGTAAACTATGTGTTTTTACTTACTTGTAGTGACGAAGAATGCATATCTGTAATATAAATGTGAAAATGGTCAAAACACTTTATTTTCTTCTGTCTAGTACAACACCATAATTTGGTTAGAACGAGTCATTTGGAAGCCCAATGACAAAATGAGTCATTTTATTTATTTAATCATTCCGACTGCAATCGACATTTTACAAAATAATACATTGACAAGATTTACATGCAACAAGATAATACAATAGAAAACACCAATAAATGAGTAAGAAGTTTGGTGGTGGTGGTGGACAGTTTGAGTAAAATTGCAACAGTTACAACATTGTGAAAAAAAAGTAAGAAACAGTGTAGATAATTGACATCAATAACAATAACAATAAACAGTGTAAGCAATTGACATCAATAACAATAACAAGAAACAGTGTGAATAATAAACATCAATAACAATAACAATAAACAGTGTAAATAATTACCTACAATAACAATAAGTGTGAATAATTAACATCAATAACAATCAGTAATCATAAAAATGACAACATTGTAAATAATTAACATTAATAAATTTACTATACATAACAGTAATAGACTATGGCAATAGATAACAATATAATAAACTGTGAAAAGCTAACGTAACATAAAAACAAAACTATATAACAAAAGGATGGATCTGGAGGGAGAAAAACCTTTTGATAGAATGCTGACAACAAGACATTTCATCACTTAACACTGTCAAGCGTGTGGCCCTCTAAAGGCACCACCAAGGAACTCCAAGAGCACAAATCCCATCACTTGACACGAATCAGCACTTCCCGGCACCCAGCATGTGGCCCTTTAGA